CAAAGAAGTTTCGTCACTTCCAGCACACCAGCAGGAATGAAAACACCAATGGTGCGCTTGTTGCTGGAGGACGTGCAATTGCTTGCGCCCTTGTTTACTGAACTTTGAGAGGCGACACAACGATCACTCTCGTAGAAATTTGAACGAACTGCAGCTACGACCCGATGATCCAGAAAAAATTACCATGTCCAAGAAGTGAGGGCCACAACTAGAACAAAAAAACCGAATGCCATCCTCCGAAGCCATGGTGAAAGGAATCACTTAGTAATGAGATGTTTGGCGACGACCCAGGAGACATCCGAAGGCTGACATCACTCAGCACAAGTACAGGGATAAAGAAAAAGGCACGCAAATGAGGTACAACAAAGAACTGGTATTCGATAGGAGCCAATTTGGAACCTGGTGGTAGTTAAACACAAACTTACAAGCACTGTACACGTTTGCAAATTAGAGTGGAGGTTGCATCATTTCAGCGATAGATATCTGTGATGAAAATGACTGATACTCTATTCGTTGCTTTAATTTCTCTTCTCTTGTTTTAATATTCCATATGCTGTACATATTCGCCAATTCGAATACATACGTGCTGGTTGTTGCACTTCACTCAATTTTTCTAGTTCAGTTCGTCTGGTTATACTGATCTACGCACGAAACTTAATTCTCACAAGGAGAATAATGAAATCATGTTAAAACACTTCTTCTGGATACTGTGGTATTAAACAAGATCACTGTCCACATAAACATAAGAGTCCTAATATCTGGCTCCTTTGGGAACCTCGTCCAGATATTCAGCCACACAACACTTCGAGTCTGCCAACTACGGCAAGCATTCGGCAAAATATACTTTGTTTTGCGGCCCGACACGTAGTTGAAATCAGCATACTTCAAGCAGGTTCAGCTGTTACTGCTGTTCCTGGCTTTTGTAACTCTCAATAAGAGAGAACTGTCGCCGTAAAAAATTGTCTGCCTCAAAGTCAAGATGTTTTGCGGCATTTTTGACGTTAACGTGAATGCGAAGAATGTCCATCCTGGGATTCGGATAAAGCACTTTAGAGAATCGAGTAGTATTGGCAATTAAATGACATTAATCGTCATCTGAGCATAAAATATAGGACCACAGAGGGTGTAAAAGCAAGCTATCATGCATCAAAACGCAACTCCACACTGAACTTTCGAAATACGAGGGGCGTACAAATCTATTGTCAAGGTCAAACTTTGAAAGAGATAAACCTGCTTCTCATGGGTTCACGGATTGATACACAGGATCGAGGCTTTTGCCCAAGTCTCCCGGGTCGGTTTTGTTCTTGTCGGTCAGTGGCTGTCGTTCACCTGAAAGGCACAAGTGAAAAAAGGGTGTTGCACTGCTCTTTATGTTCACGGCG